TTGTTTCTTTTCCCTTTTGTTTCTTGCTACTCTTTCTGGATGGCTTTCCTTAATATTTGTATCTATTTCTTTGCTCTTTCACCTGTGGTTGTCTGTCCTGGATTTTTGGTTAGTGTTTACCCTGGGGATTTTACTTGAATTCCTCTTTTGGTCCTTTATGAGCTGGTGTCTGCTCTCTGACATTTAACTATACTGATTCTACCCATTTCTTCCTCTTGTATTTGGTGGTGTTGATTCATAGTATTCTTGCTCTTGGCACTGGTGTTAAATTGTTATCTTTGTTTTGCTAAGGAGTTCACACTTTAATTTTTCTTTTTTGTGTGGAAATACTCCTTTTAATACTACTTGAAGAGAGTGGGTCTGGTGGTGGCAGACTCTACTAGCTTCTGTTTGTCTGAGAAAACCATTACTACTCCTTCATACTTAATTGATACTTTTGTAAGATAGAGAATTCTTGGCTGACAGTTCATCCCTTTTTTTAAGGATTGCAAACATTTTCTCCCACTCTCTTCTTGCTTGAAGAGTGTCTAGGCTGAAATTTGGGAAAAGCCTAATTTGGGAACCCTCATAGGTGACTATTATTTTTTCCCCTTGCTTCCTGCAAATTTTTTTCTATATCTTGATTTTTGATAGTCTGACAATGATGTGTCTGGGTGTAAATCTTCTTGTTCTCTCTGCTGGAATTCCATATTTAATTCTTTCTGTAGGTTTGGAAAATTCTTATTTATTATCTTTTGGAATAGTTTTTCTAGTCCTATTTCTTTTTCTTCCCCTTCTAGGAGTCCAATCACTCATATATTTGGTCTTCTAATTGAATCTGATATTCTCATAGAGCCTCCCCATTTTACCTTGGTCTTGATACTCTCCTTCTAAATGTATAATTTGTTTATTTGAGTCTTTCATTGCAGAAATTCTTTCCTTTGCCATTTTAAAAAAAATATTTATTTATACAAGCACTGGGTACAGTCAGAAGCGCAGGAGGGTGAGAGAATTCACCAGAGCCAGAGCGGGGAGCAGAGCAGGCAGAAGGACCGAAGGACACTGCTGAGGGGAGCAGCGGGTGGCAGGAGAGGTCTGCGCGCCATGTGGGACCCTCCTCCAGGGGCCGGAGAACAGCTGAGGATCAAACCGGCTCTTCAGAGGCTGCGGGCAGCTTCGCAACCCAGCGCTCTACCGCTGCGCCACCGGGGAGGCCCTCCTTTGCCATTTTTAGTCTAAATTACTGCCTACATTTGTCAGCATTTCACTTGGAATTTCTTTTTGTGATCTTTTTATATATTCAGTCTCTCTACTGAAGAATTCTTTTTGTTCTTGGCTCTCCTTTAAGAAATCTTGTATCTGCCTATCTGCTTTTGACTAACCTTCCAGTATCTCATGACATTCTTAATATTATTGGTTTGAAGTGGTTGTCAGATAGTTTCTCTATTTCTGCCTCCTTTATACTTGTCCTAGGACTTTTGTCCTTTTGCTTTTCCATCTTGTATTGAGATGTTCCTTGCTTCTTAGACATGCCTATTGCATTATTTATTGTTATTTATGTGTGAATGTAGCTGGGCACTGGGCATTTATCTTTGTGTTCTCTTCTTAGTTTACTTCTGTGTGAGGTAGAGGGAAGAGGGAGGTCTAGAGCTTTAATACTTGATCTTTGTTTGAGGAATGATGTTAATCACCTCTATCTCTTGTTTTGTTCCACAGTGAGGTGTTTTCTGTGCTTAGGTTGTCTTGCCTTTCCTCCCTGCCTCCCTGTTGTTCCTTTCTTCCAAGTGTTGTGATCTATTAAGCCAGTGGTAAGGGCAATATCCGGGTCTCCAGGCTTACCTGCTAGGGATAAATTGCGTCTGGCTGTGCTGTGTGTGTAATGTATGCACATGTTTTCACTTAATATTATGGTGCACACAATGGCTGTGCTGTTCCACCATTGCCTCTGCTACAGCTTCTGCCATGCTGTGGGAAGTATCCAAGCCATTGGTTTGACTTCCAGGAGAATTTGTGAGTTCATGCTCTAGTTCTTTCTTTCTTTCTTTTTTTTTTAATGATTTAATTATTTATTTATATAAGCACTGGGTATAGTCAGAAGCGCAGGAGGGTGAGAGAATTCGCCAGAGCCAGAGTGGGGGGCAGAACAGGCAGATTGACTAAGTACACTGCTGAGGGGAGCAGCAGGCACGGCAGGAGAGGTCTGCACGCCATGTGGGACCCTTGCTGACGTCGGGAATCGAACCTGTGCTGGAGAGGTTGTGGGCAGCTTCGCAGCCCAGTGCTCAACCACTGCACCACCGGGGAGGCCCTAAAGCTCTTCTTTCTGATGTAGTATCTTTTATGGAAGTTGGCTTGGCTCCACCTGGCTTTTCTTTGATCTCTTGCGGAGGTAGGAGGGAGCCTTCAGTGGGCACACTGCCTCAATTGCAGGGTTCCCAATTTCCCAGATTGGATTTTTCTGAACTCCCACTGCCTTAGGTGGGCCCTGGTCTATTCTTTTGTCAGGAATATTCCTCCAAGGAATTTCACAATGTCCTTGTTTACTTCAGTGTGACTTGGGAGGTCATCCCCAGCCCTGACACATTCTCCTTGCCTTCTTCTATTTTTCTCCCTCAGCAGCCATCAAGCTTAGCTCTTGAGCTCCCTGAGGATGTCCTGGAGCTGTACATCTGATTTAAAGTATCTGGACTTTTTTAGGAGCACATATCAGTGTTTTTCTTTTCCTAGCAGTTTTCAAGGGAGAGTGTGGTTCCAGCTTCTTTATTCCACCATGTTGTGGGGGGAATCTCCTCATCCACTTTATTCTACTGTCACATGAAACAAAAATTAGGTTTATTTTTAATCCTTGATCTAGACGGGATTGTTGAGAAAGTTTCTTTGTGGTAGACAGCATTTTGGGACTAGCATTTTTAAAAGTAACGGAAGGTCATTCTCTTATTTATGTTGAGTACTGAAATTGTTGCTGTCATTTCTCCACTGAAACCCACTTCATACACTGTGACTTGCTGATTCTACTCTTTAACATCTGTATCTGTCTACCTGAGTCAGATGAATCTTAGGGTTTTGGTAGGAACCTACATTTTAGGAGAACAAGTGTTGTCAGGGTTCCACCTATAAGGTAAATGAGATGGTCATGCTGGCCTCTGTGGCTATCATCTGCAACCTTGAATGCAGAAGGTGCTTGGGAGCATGAGCTTGGGGTACACATGCCTAATGATGGACACCTGTAGAGTAAGTGGTCACACCTGAGCTTGGGAGGTCAGGGATATACGGGCGATGTTACATAGAGAAGGGCAGTGAGAGTGATAGAGGACAGCAGAAGGGCTACAAGACAACATTAGAGTGAGCCCAGGTAGCAAAGATTGGTGGGGGCTGGGAGACCTGGCAGCCTCCTGGCCTTCCTGCCCCATAACTGCCCTGCACCTGGTTGCCTCACTCTCATCATTCAAGGCCTGAAAATATTACTGAGGGCTCCAGGACTCTCCTTTATCCATCTCCCAAGTAGATAGAGAACCTGCCCTGTGCTTGCTGGCACAACACATCCTACTTCCTTCTTGGAGATATTTTCCCTTACATTTTTGGTTAAGTCTTCCCCAAGAAAGCATGTCCTTCATTTCATCAAAACTTTCTTTGTGTCAACGAGAAAGATTTACCCATTGTCTAACGGAATTTTATTAAGCTGAATTTATCAGTCATTGATTTTCACTTCCTTTGCTCAATGTTAGCAAAGACAGATAAAGTGTAATTTTTTTTTTCTAAACAAAAGATACAGGCAAAGCATATCTGCTCTTGGTAGTTTAGTGTATCAATTTAAATACTGTTACCCAGTTACTCTTTGGTATTATCATTAACTCTAATGATCTCTAATCAATCTGCCTGTTCTGTTTTACCTTTCCTGCATTAGAACTAGCTTTAAGTTTGCTATCTTGATAGTCTTGATATCTATGCAGATACGTATTTTTGTATCTTCCTTAGTATTCAGTCTAGTATTGTTGGTTTGCATAAAGAAGCACACGTTCAAATTACAACAAACAAACAAGTAACAGAAGGGTATTAGGCTTTCTTGTGGAACCTGAGAGAAGTTATAACCAGCCTTCATTCACTAATTTATTCTCCATTGTTCTGTCTAATGGATATTGGAGATGAAATGGTTAACTCCACAGATATTCTATATCCACACTAGATTATAAACTGTAAAGAAATAGGTGCTCTGGTGACGAATCAGTAAATCATGCAATGAACACTGATTGGGGATTACCATAATGAACAAAAAACTATCTATTTTTAATACTTTGTTGTCTTGAATGACCTATCAGCCAAAGTCACCTCATGTGACTTTTCAGCTCTCACAGGTGGAGTCAAAAGGAAGATAGAATTTAGGTAGAATGGTTTAGCAAAGTCTCTGAGTTACGAACAGCTTTCAGAGGACCTTACACCCCAAATTGTTATGTACATTTGAATTCCATTTTAGTGCTTTCCTGAATGTCCTATCATATCTTCTGTTTCTTTTTTCACTCTTGTCTGCTAACTATGGCTACTTGTCACTCTTCTCTCCTCCCTAGCTTTACTTAAGCTACAATTTGGACTTTTCCACTTGCATGGAAGGAATAAAGGTTTAGATTGAATTGAACCAACACCAGTATTGGTGAAGTCTTAAATATGATTGAAATGTGCTAGATTTTGCCTATAAAGAAGATATATATTTGCAAGACATATGCCAACCATCTCAGAAACTTCCCCCCTCCCCAGAAAAAAGGCTACAAAGTTCTTTAACATAGAATTATGTTTCTTAATCCAAGAAAATGATCTAACCAATATAGGATACCTGCATGAGTATATTTTATTTTACAGTCTTATTTTGGGGGTTGTGTGAGATATTATATATAAGAGACATTATCATTATCACTAAAAAGACAAAGTAGTTTTTTTTTCTAGAAAAGTTACACTTATCAACTGATATTTGATTTATTTAAATTTGGAACAAATAGCTATAATTACTAATTTTTTGTTTGTTTGTTTAGGCCATCAGTTGTAATCACCAGAGAGTTCATCTTGAGATTCAATGAAACCAAGAATCCGAAAGAGGAGGAAGAAATGTTGGACATAGCTAGAAAAAACATACTGAGATGTAAGGTAATGATAAGCTACTTTATTTATTTATTTTTTAATATTTATTTATTTATACAAGCACTGGGTATAGTCAGAAGCGCGGGAGGGTGAGAGAATTCACCAGAGCCAGAGCGGGGAGCAGAACAGGCAGAAGGACTGAAGTACACTGCTGAGGGGAGCAGCGGGCGACAGGAGAGGTCTGCGTGACATATGGGACCCTCACCTGTGGCCGGGGATCGAACTGGCGCTGCAGAGGCTGGCTTCGCAACCCACCGCTCAACCACTGCGCCAACAGAGGGGGCCCTAAGCTACTTGATTATTTAGAATCTGAACTTTCTCTTTTACTTGGTAGATGATTATGTTTTAAATTACTGAAAGGGGGAAAAAAACACACCTTTCTTTATAAATAAAGTTAAGCATATTAATGTATCTTAAAGTAAAGCTTAGAATAAATATTTCAACTTTAAATGGCTTTTTGACGATTCCCCCAAAAGTACTGGGGAATGTAGCTGTTAACACTGGTCTAAGAGCACATGTAAAGTATCACAAACTGGAAAACATATCTTTGATCACAGAAATTTCATTTTTTTTTTAATATAAATTTAACTGGGATATGATGTCCCAAAGTGGAAAGAGCTTTTCTAAACCTTCACTATGCACACATAAAGTACCCTGTTCTTTCTGTATAACAAATGATAACTAGTCACCAACATGTAAAACGTAAATTCTTGAAGAGTATGTCTATAATTCCCTTAAACACATATCAAAAGAGAACAGGAAATAAAATAAGTCCTTGTTTTACCTTTCCTGCATTAGATGTAGTTTTAAGTTTGCTAGAAAAGTAGTGTGTATGTGCTTTTGTTTAAGTCTAAATAGTTCATGAAATAAAAACTGCCAAGAACTGGGCATAAATAAGCTGCTAGTTTTTGTTATGGTTGTTATTTTCCTGTATTTTAATTTATGGTTACCTATATATGTAAAATTTTTGAAAAAATCACTTAAATTTGATTTGAATAAAGAATATTCTTCATTAGAATGCATGTAGGGGCCTCGCTGGTGGTGCAAGTGGTTGAGACACAGCTATGAGGCTGTCTGTAGCCACTGTAGCAAAAATTCAATCCCTGCCCAGGGAACTACGCACATGGTGCAGCAGACCTCTCCTGTCTCATCTGCTGCTCCTCTCATGAGTGTACTTCGGTCGATCTGCCCATTCTGTTTTCACTCTGTGTCTGGTGAATCCTCTCACTCTCCACACCTCTGGCCTGTACTCAGTTCTTGTATGCATGGATAAATAAATCTTTAAAAAAAAAAATAGAATGCCTGCAGGTACATTTATCACTAGGCTTCTCTTCAGTTGGCTAGCTATGGCTTCCGAGGCAGCCTGGGGAGTGAGCATATTAAAAGAAAAGGAAATTCTTTATGTATTTCTTATATTCACTAAGTTGAGTCCGTCCACAGTGAAGTAGCTAGTTTTCCTGCCGATTAAGGTCAGGTTAATTTCTCCAATATATTTTCTTTTAGAAAATCAGACATTTATTATCTTGCTTGGGAAAATATAGAAATAGGCCTCTAGAAATTAAAGACAGAGATATTTTTAGTAAATAATTAATGATATTACTCACACTATAGCAAACATTCTCTGCATTTTTAACACTAAGACAGTTTATGTAAAATGGCAAAAAATAATAAAGGCAAAAATATAAAATATATAACTATGGTCACAGAACATCAGCCTCATAGAATGACTTTAAGAATATAGTTAAAGGGGGGAAGGGTGGAGCAACATGGCAGCGAGGAGATGCTGCCAGTAAGATCTCCCAAAAAAAAAAAGTTAATAGGGAGGAAAAGCGGCAGGTCCCAGTGAGAACTGACACGGAAGATAAACGGACGACTCCAGCAAACTACCCGAAGAAGAAAGTTGCCATAAAAGAGGACTAGAAGGGAGGAAAGCGCAGAACCCTGCTCCCCTCCCCCACCCACAGAGTCGGCACTCTCCAACCAACAGAGAGGAGGAAAAAAACAAACTAAAACCACCAACAAGAACAATCTACGCATCAGGCGGGACTGTGAGTGGAAAGGAACTATTTCAGCCACCACACCCTGTGAACGGGAGCTGTGGAGAACCCTGCAGGATTCGCCGCAGCGGTGAGTGAACGGCTCTGGGCGCCATTAGAGAACAGCAGAGACCCCGGGAGACCTGCACTCAGCCCCGGGCTGGCCGGTAAGCTTGCGTGGAAAAGCGGTGCTTGAAAAGCAAACGCGGATCGGGATCGCGGCTGCCCAGGTCCCCGTGCCTACGACCTAGGCTTGTGGGGAGACGCGCGGGGGCCCTCACTGAGGTGAAAGTCCCTCACTGAGTAATCAGAAACCAGGCGCCCGGACACGGGAGCGGGATGCAAAAGGCGCCATTGCTGCAGCCACTGAACTGGGCTACAGCCCGTGTCCTGGACCTGAGGGCTTTGGAACTGAGACCCAGGGCACGAAATTCGGAGTGTGGGTCCTCCACTTTGGTGGGGCACAAGGCAGACACAGCACCCCAAAGCTGTTGAGGTTTTCCCTACCATTCCCACTCTGTTCCCTGTCCCACGGGGTGAAGAAAAACAGCCCCCCATGGACTAGGAGAGATCTCTGGCGCCACCTAGCGACCAGAAAAAAGTCACTAACACCCCATAGAACAGGGACCTTTCTTGAAACCTGCAGAAGGCTCCTGGAGGAAACCTTGGCCAGCTGGGAAGCTAGCCCACCCCAGGCCCCTTCAGACCAGCAGTCTAAGCCCACAGGGGGAGCGGGCACCCACAGCTGGGGCAGACTGGGCGCGCAGAAGAGTGTGCCTGAGACCGAACCCGCAGGGAGTGCGTCCCGCATCGCCATTTTAGAACAGGGATATTTCTTCAGGAAAGACTGCCTGCAGAAAGCTCCCTCAGGATCCAGAGGTGAGTGGGGAAGCTCGCCCACGCCAGGCCCCTTCTGGCCTGCAGTCCAAACCCAGAGGGGGAGCGGGAACCCACCGCCGGGGCAGACCAAGCACACAAGGGTGTGTGTCCCCACATCAGCATTTTAGAACAGGGACCTTTCTTCAGCAAAGACTGCTTGAAACTGACAGATGGCTCCTGGAGGAGCCAGAGGGGAGCAGAGAAGCTCAACCAAGATGCCGGCTAGTCCCAGCAACACAATGTCCCAATGCATACGACAAATTAGAAAACAGACAGTAGGGAGTAGAAGAACCACACGCAACCTAACAACTCTTCAGGGAAAAAGCACACCACAAAAAGAAAACCACCCCCCAGATTGCAACAACAGTAACTTGGAAGAACTTCTGAGCCTTCCAGAAAGAGAATTTAAAATTGCCATAATTAAAAAAATGACAGAACTCATAAAGGAAAACAATGATCAGAAGAAGGAAATTGAGTCCCTAAAGAGGGAAAACAATGGTCAGAAGAATGAAATTGAGTCCCTAAAGAGGGAAGTAAAAGAAATGCAGGAGATCAAAGAATTAATGGAGGAACTAAAGAATTCTGGGAAAAGCAATGAAAGCAGAATAGATGAAATGGAAGAACGAATAAGTACTCTTGAAGACAGAAATAAAAAGAACGAAAACAGAAAAGGAAAGAGAAGTACAAAGGAAAAAGAACAAAGAAAGACTTTGGGAACTATCTGACTCCATGAGGAGAGGAAATATAAGAGTTATAGGAATTCCAGAAGGAGAGGAGAGAGATGTAGGAACAGAGAAAATATTCCAGGAGATAATTGAAGAGAACTTCCCAAATGTGAAGAAGGAGCTGAAAATTGATATACAAGAAACAAGAAGAACACCAAACTTCCATGACGAAAGGAAAAATACAGCAAGACACATAATAGTGAAGCTCCCAAGAATCCAGGACAAGGAAAAAATAATGAAGCTGACAAGAGGGAAGAAACAGATAACATTCAAAGGAAAACCAATCAGGATGACATCAGACTTCTCTGAAGAAACACTACGGGCAAGGAGAAAGTGGAGGGACATAGTCAACAGACTCCAAGAAAACAGATGCCAACCAAGAATACTCTATCCCGCAAAGCTCTCCTTCCTCTATGAAGAAAGAATAAGGACCTTCCCAGACAAACAGAAACTCTGGAATTTCATGACAACTAAACCCCCACTCCAAAAAATACTACAAGGAGTCCTAAAGCCAGAACCTCAGAGGGACAAATAACAACGAAAGAAGGCCAAAAAAAAAGTTATTAAAATAATAAATAAATAAAATCAAAGGAAAGACAAACACAATGGCAAATACAGATGCTAACATATCAATATTAACTCTAAATGTAAATGGACTAAACTCTTCAATAAAAAGACACAGAGTTGCAGCCTGGATTAAGAAACAAAACCCAACCTTTTGCTGTCTCCAGGAAACACATTTAGCTACAAAAGATAAAAATAGGCTCAAAGTTAAAGGATGGAAAACAATCCTACAAGCAAATGGACCAAAAAAGAAAGCAGGAAGAGCTATACTTATATCAGATAAAACAGACTTCAAACTCAAAAAAATAAAAAGAGACCCCAATGGTCACTACATTATGATCAAGGGGACAATACTTCAAGAAGAAATAACACTCATTAACATATACTCACCAAACGAAGGAGTACCAAAATATATCAGACAACTGTTGTCCTCTCTGAAAACAGACATCAGAGAAAACACATACGTAGTGGAAGACTTCAACACACCACTATCAACAATGGATAGATCAACAAGACAAAAAATAAGTAAAGAAACTAAAGCTCTAAATAAGGACCTAGAGCATTTGGGCTTAACAGACATCTATAGAACACTAAACCCCAAAAAAACGGAGTACATATTTTTCTCAAGCGCACACAGATCATTTTCCAGAATGGATCACATACTGGGACACAAGACAAATATCAACAGATACACCAAGATTGAAATCATACCAACCATCTTTTCTGACCATGAAGGCATCAAACTAGAAATAAACCATAAAAAGAAGGCAAGGAACTTCCCTACCTCATGGAGATTAAAAACCACCCTACTGGACTAATGAGGAGATCAAAGAAGATATTAAAAAATTCTTTGAATTGAACGACAGGAGGACACCAATATCCTAAATGTATGGGACGCAGCAAAAGCAGTAATAAGAGGAAAATATATAGCAATAGAAGCTCACATCAAGAAACAAGAAAGAACTTAAAGAAACAACCTAATCTCGAAGCTCAAAGATCTAGAAAAAGAACAACAAAAAAATCCCAAAACCAGTAGAAGAAAAGGAATAATAATAATAATAATAATAAAAACCAAAGCAGAAATAAATGAAATTGAAACTAAAAAAACAATCCAAAAGATCAATGAAACCAAGAGCTGGTTCTTTGAAAAAATCAATAAAATAGACAAACCCCTGGGCAGGCTACAAAGGTAAAAAGGGAGAAAGCACAAATAAACAGGATCATAAATGAAAGAGGAGAAATCACAACAGACACAGCATAAATCAAAAGAATAATCAGTAACTACTATGAACAGTTATATGGAAACAAGTTCAACAATCTAGAGGAGATGGACAAATTCCTACAACTCTACAATCACTCAAAGCTAGATAAAGAAGAAATAGAACACCTAAACAGACCAATTATAAGCAGCGAAATTGAAATGGTAATCAAAAATCTCCCCAAAAACAAAAGCCCAGGACCTGATGGATTTACAAATGAATTCTACCAAACATTCAGAGACGAATTAGTGCCTATCCTTCACAAACTCTTCCAAAAAATTGAGAAGGAAGGGACAATACCAAACACGTTCTATGAAGCCAACATTACGCTAATACCAAAACCAAACAAGGACAACACAGAAAAGGAAAACTACAGGCCAATCTCCCTAATGAACACTGATGCAAAAATCCTCAATAAAATCTTAGCTATCAGAATCCAACAATGTATCCATAAGATAATTCACCACGACTAAGTAGGATTCATTCCAGGGAGACAAGGCTGATTTAACATCCGGAAATCAATCAACATTATCCAACACATCAACAAAAAGAAATATAAAAACCATATGATAATATCAATAGATGCTGAGAAAGCTTTTGACAAAGTGCAACACCCATTCATGATAAAAGCCCTTGAAATTCTTGGGATACAAGGAACATACCTCAACATTATAAAGGCCATATATGACAAGCCAACAGCCAGTATCATTCTCAATGGTGAAAAGCTGAAAGCAATTCCATTAAGATCTGGAACAAGACAAGGATGTCCACTCTCACCACTGCTTTTCAATATAATACTGGAAGTCCTAACCAGAGCAATAAGACAAGAGAAAGACATACAAGGAATCCAAATAGGAAAAGAAGAAGTCAAACTATCACTATTTGCAGATGATATGATAATATACATAGAGAACCCCAAAAACTCCACAGAAAAACTAATTCAACTCATCAATTAGTTCAGTAAAGTGGCAGGATACAAAATCAACACGCAAAAGTCAGTAGCCTTCCTATACACAAACAATAAATCTGAAGAAGAAGAAATCACAAAAAAACCATCCCTTTTATTATTGAAACAAAAAAAATCAAATATTTGGGAATAAATCTAACAAAAGAGGTAAAGGACCTATACAAAGAAAACTATAAAACACTGTTAAAAGAAATAGAAGAAGACACAAAGAAATGGAAAGACATCCCCTGCTCATGGATTGGCAGAATAAACATTATTAAAATGGCCATCCTACCAAAAGCAATATACAGATTCAATGCTATTCCAATCAAAATTTCAATGTCTGTCATTCTTCAAAGAAATAGATCAATTATTGATGAAATTCATATGGAATCACCAAAAACCCCGAATAGCCAAAGCTCTCCTGAAAAAAAAAAAAGGGAATGGAGGCATCACAAAGCCATAATCATCAAAACTGCATGGTATTGGAACAAGAACAGACCTACAGACCAATGGAATCGAATAGAAAATCCAGAAATAAACCCACAGATTTATGGTCAACTAATATTTGACAAAGGAGCAAAGACTATGCATTGGAGCAAAGAAAGTTTGTTTAATAAATGGTGCTGGGAAAACTGGGTCACTACATGCAAAAAGAATGAAGCTTGACCACTACCTCATACCATACACAAAAATCAACTCAAAATGGATTAAAGAACTAGACATAAGACCTGAAACCATAAAATACATAGAAGGAAATATAGGCGAAACACTACGTGATTTGCACATCAAAGACATCTTTACAGACACATCACCCAAAGCAGTGATAGTGAAGGCAAAGATAAACAGCTGGGACTACATCAAATTAAAAAGCTTCTGCACAGCAAAAGAGACAATAACAAAAACAAAGAGAAACCCCACCAACTGGGAGAACATTTTTGCACACAACACTAATGATAAAGGACTGATCACAAAAATCTGCAAAGAGCTGATGAGACTCAACAACAACAACAAAGAAAATAATCCCGTCAAAAAATGGGCAGAAGAGCTAAATAGAAACTTCTCTGAAGAGGAAATGCAAATGGCCAACAGGCATATGAAAAAATGTTCAACATCACTTGTCATCAGGGAAATGCAAATCAAAACTACCATGAGATACCATCTTACACCAGTGAGAATGGCACATATTAAAAAAACTAGCAACAACAAATGTTGGCGAGGGTGTGGAGAAAAAGGAACTCTTCTGCACTGTTGGTGAGAGTGCAAACTGGTCCAACCACTATGGAGAGCTGTGTGGAGATTTCTGGACCTACTAAACATAGAGCTTCCATATGATCCAGCAATTCCACTCCTAGGTATTTACCCAAAGGACACAGAAACATCAATTCCAAAGAACACCTGCACCCCTATGTTTATAGCAGCACTATTTACAATAGCTAAGCTTTGGAAACAGCCCAAATGCCCAAAAATAGATGACTGGATCAAGAAGATATGGTACATATACACCATGGAATATTACTCATCATTCAAAAAAGATAAACACATGCAATTTGCAGCAACATGGATGGCGCTGGAAGGGATCATGCTCAGCAAAATAAGCCAGAAAGAAAAAGAAAAATACCGGATGGTCTCACTCATAGCAGGAATCTAGAAAACTTAAATAAAGGACCAGGAAAATGAATAACTATAAGAAAGTGAAAATCAAAATCAACAAAAAACTATGAAGCAGAGATACTTTTTGGGAGGTGGGTGGCGGGAGGGGAGGGATTGGAGTCAGAATGGGGGGGTTGCAATTGTATGGGGAATATAAAAATAAAATTTATTATTTAAAAAAAAAGAATATAGTTAAAGGGCCCTCCCTGATTGTGCAAGGGGTTAAGTCTCAGCACTATGAAACTGTAAGCAGCCACTGCACCATGAGTTCCATCCTGGTCAGGGAATTAACCCACAGGGCACAGCAGACCTCTCTTGTCTTGCCTGCTGCTCCCCTCAGCAGTGTATTTAAGTCAGTCTGCTTGTTCTGTTCCCCACTCTATCTCTAGTGAATCCTCTCACCACCCCCCCCCACACTTCTGGCCTGTACCCCCGTTCCTTTATGCATAAATAAATAAATCTTTTAAAAAGGAGAATACAGTTAAAGAATGAATGGAGGGAGAAAGAAAGAAATTCATAATATAGCTACAAATTTTGTTCTGCCTCTTTCCTGTTTCCCCATAATAGCGAAAATTGGGTCTCAAAACCTTGGGTTCTGGGAAGCACGTGCATCTTCCCACTGCATGGACTTCAGTGATATACCTGGCTCAGTGCAAAGGAGAAATCCAAGATGGTATGTGGTCTGATTAGTATTTCTTAATTACCCTAAATATTTTCTAGATTAGCACCCATAATTTGTGATCTTTATTATTTAGAAATTGTGCAGGAATCAAGGAACACTTGCATTTCTCTATTGAAATATCTGATGTTTGATTTTTTAAGTTCCATTTCCAATTTTGAATATATGAATTTGCTCAACTTTTTAATAACAAAATCATTACAAAAATCTCAATGTAGTTTTATTATTCTGAAATTAGTAACTACTTAAAAATGTAATATAAAATGCCATTTAGTGATTTTCAGTTGAAAGGACACTATAGAAAACTCATTGCTGGATTTTACTATTTTTTCTCATAAACCTTTAATCTCACAGACATTTGTTTTTACTTATTTTAAACAGCCATTTGGCTTTTTACCATTTCATTGATAACTTCTCATTAATATATAGTCTTTCAAAAACACTTCCAATCAATCTAAAAAACACTATTATTTAGGAGGTAAAATTCTTTTTATTATTCTCCTAATTTTTATGCATAAGTCTTTTAAAATGAGTTCTGGAATGTTAATATAAGGTTCAAGAATATTTCCCTATGCAAATTAGGGTTTGTAGTTCTGTCTAGGAACTTTCAAGCAACAGGGAGATTAACAATGATTGTTGTATTTAACATGACTTTATGATACTTCATCCACTGCCATTCACAGCCCAATTGCTATGCAATTTTTATAAGTGATACTGACATAAATATCGATAACTGATAACCAGCAGTCACTTGCTCTTCTTCATCAATTAAACCTCAGCTTGATTTAAGTATCCTGTTGTCTTGTGATTCAGAAGATTTTTGTGATTTGATCCACTATGTGTCCATCTAAACTAATCTTGGTAATCCCCCTTAATTTTTTTTAAGATTTATTTTTTTATACATACAAGAACTGGGGTATAAGCCAGAGGTGTGGGGGGTAGTGAGAGGATTCACCAGAGACAGTGGAGAGCAGAACAGGCAGATGTACTGAAATATACTGCTTAAGGGAGCAGAGGGCAAGACAGGAGAGGTCTGCTGAGCCATGTGGGTCACCTCCCTGGCTAGATTGAACTAGTGCTGTAGTGGCTGGCAATAGCTTGATAGTGCTGTCTTTAACCCCTGCACCACCAGGGAGGCCCTGCTTTTATACTTTATTGTTGCAAGACTAGTATCTATGTGTTTAATCCATTGGGAATTATTTTGTACACTGAATTATTTTGGAGTCACCACCTTCTTGTGCGTGGCATTTGGTTTTCCCAGAAATTCTTCTTTCTCCATTGTACCACTATGACTCCTTTATCATGAATTATAGTATTGATGTTTGCATGGATTTATATCTGATTTTTGATGCTATTCAATTGATTCATGTATTTATTTAATCTAAAACCATGTTTCTCTTTGTACTGTTGCTTTATACTATAAAGTCGGGTAATTTGATGCCTCCATTTTTTTCCTTTTTCAGGATTGCTTTAACTGTTTGAGGGCTTATATGGTTATATATAATTTTCAGTGTATTTTGGTAAATTTCTTTAAAAATGTTTTTGGTATTTTTATGGGGATTACATTTAATGTATATATTACTTTAGGTAGTTATAGTTATTTTTATTATATTTATGCTTTGTATCCATGAGCATGGGATGTCCTTCCATTTCTTTATGTCACTATCTAAATCCTTTAATAGCATCTGTAGTTTTCCTCCCATTAGGCCCTTCATCTCCTGGAGTAGAATAATTTTGAGGTATTTGATTCTTTTCCTACTCTGGATGCCTTAGTTCTATGATCAGCTTTCAAGGGATAGTTTTAGTTTTAAAGTTTGATCTGACCCTTCGGTTTCTCTATATCTCACATATAATAGATACCTCAGCATTTGTCCTTCTCCTCCTGACTTATTGCACTCAGCGTAATCCCTCCCAGCTCCATCTATGTTACCGCAAATGGCATGAGTGTCTTTTTTGACCTCTAAATAGCAGTCCATTGAGTTTATATATAAAACAAATCCTCTTTATCCACTTATTTTTTTTTGGACACTTAGATTGTTTCCATAGTGTGGCTATTGCAAATAGTGCCTCAGTGAACAAAGGAGTGAATACATCCATTTGAATTCATGATTTTTCTATTCTTTGGGTAGATACCTAAGAGTAGAGTTATTGTTGATATGTCAGATCCATTTTTAGACTTCTGAGAAACCTCCATACTGTTTTTCACAGGGACTGGACCAATTTACATTCTCACCAACAGTATAAGAGGGCTACTTTTCCCCTACACCTTAATAGTAGTATTTGTTGTTTCTGGTCTTTTTTATTTTTTAAAGATTTTTTTTTTTTTAGGATTTATTTATTCATGCATACATGATCCAAGGTACAGGCCAGATGCGCGGGAGGGTGAGAGGATTCACCAGAGACATAGTGGGGAACAGAATAGGCAGACTGACTGAAATATATGGCTGAGAGGAGCAGCAGGCGAGACAGGAGTGGTCTACCAGGCCATGTGGGATTTTTGCTGGCTGGCCGGGATCGAACCCATGCTGCAGAGGCTGCAGACGGCTTCACAGCACTGCAGTCAACTGCCTGTGCTACCATGGGAGGCCATGGTCTTTTTGATATGGGCCATTCTCACAGGTCTAATGTGGTATCTCATTGTGGTTTTGATTTGTATTTCCCTGATATTAAGTGATGATGAGTATTTTTCCACCTGCCTGTTGGCCACTTATGTCTTCTTTGGAGAAAAGCCTGTTTAGCTCTTCTGCCCAATTTTTGATTAGGTTATTTTGTTGTTGTGTTGTATAAGCTCTTTTTAAGTCTTTGATAGCAGTCCTTGACAGATACATGGTTTGCAAATAAGTTTTTCCTTTCAGTACGGGGCCTTTTTGTTTTAGTATGATTTCTTTCACTGCACAGAGATTTTTAGTTTGATGTAGTACCAATAGTTTCTACCCTCTTTTGTTTTCCTTGCCACTGGAGATGAATTTGCAAAAATGTCACTGAAAGTTATGTTGTGAATATTTTGCCTATGTTTTCTTTTTTGTATTTTAGGGTTTCATGTCTTACATCCAAGTCTTTTATCCATTTTATGTGGCCTTTTGTGTATGGTTTGATATACTGGTCTAGTGTTCATTTTCTTTTTTATACAACAGTTTTCCCAACAGTATTTATTGGAGAGGGTTTCCTTTTCCAGTATATATTATTGACTCCTTTTTTTGAAGATTAACTGTCCAAATAGGTTTGGGTTTATTTCTGCAATTTCAATTCTATTCACTGGTTCTGTGTCTGTTTTTGTGTTAGGACCATAATGTCTTTATTGTCCTAGCTTAGTCACATAGTTTGAAATCTGGAAGCGTGATACAGCCATTCTTCCTCATTTTTGTCAGGATTACTTAGGATATTTGGGGTCTTTTGTGGTCCCCTATGAATTTCAGTATTGTTTTTTATCTTTGACAAATACCATTGGTATTTTGATAGATATTGCACTGAATCTGTATATTTCTTTAGGAAGGATGGCCATTTTGACAATACTAATTCTTTTTGAATCCATGAACAGGAAATAGCTTTCCATTGCTTTGTGTCTTCTATTTGTTTTAACAGTGTCTTACACTTTTCTTTGTATAGTTACTTAACCACCTTTCTTACAAAGTTTACTCCTGGTCATTTATTATTTTTTTTCTTTTTTGGGTGTATCTGCAAATTGTTTAGTTTTCTTAATTTCTTCTATCTTATTGTTTGCACATAGTATAGGACAAATGAATTTTGGATATTTGATTTTTTTGAAGTGATTGTGTATTGAATATTTTTTAAAAAATATTTCTTCTCTTTTGTTGTTTATATATAAGAATGCTACAGATTTTTGTCTGTTGGTTTTGTAGTCACCCACTTTAGATATTCATTTATTGCTTCTAATAGTTTTATGTTAAGTCTTTAGGATTTTCCACATATAATATTTTATCATCTGATAGTTTCACTTCTTTTCCAACTTGGATTGTCTTTGTTTCCTATTGTCAATTCATATAGCCAAAATTTTTCATACTAAATTAAATAACCGATGACAAAGGGTATCCTTTTTTTTTTTTCATTCCTGAATTTGAAGGGAACACTTTCAGTTTTTTTTGTCATTAATCATTGTATTTATACTGCTGGTTTCTGATATATGGCATTTATTATACCGAGGTAGGTTGCTTCCCATCTTAGATTTATCATAAGTGAAGCTGAGTTATACCACATGATTTTTTTGTTCGCTTTTGTTAACATTGTTTTATTTATATATATTAAACTATTCTTGCACTACTGGAATAAATCCTTCTTGATCATGATGTAAAACCCTTTGATACACTCTTTCTTTTTTTAAAGATTTATTTATTTATTTATACAAGCACTGGACACATTCAGAAGCATGGGAGGGTGAGAATTTACCAGAACCAGAGCGTAGAACAGAACAGGCAGACTGACGAAGTACACTGCTGAGGGGAGCAGCGGGTGGCAGGAGAGGTCTGTGCGCCATGTGGGACCCTCAACCAGTGGCTGGGGATCTTACTGGCGCTGCAGAGGCTGTGGGCAGCTTCACAACCTAGCGCTCAACTGCTGCGCCACCAGGGGAGGCCCCCCTTGTGATACACTCTTGAATTTGACTTGCAGGTATTTTATTGACACCTTTTTGCATCAGTTTTTAACAGGAATATTAGTGTATGAGTGTTTTCTTTATCTGGTTTCAACATTAAGAGTACTAGCATCCTAAAATGTATTAGGAGCCACTCATTTTTCTTGGATTTTTAAAATAATTTGAGCAAGATGGGTAGGAATTCCTCTTTAAATATTTGATAGAATCAATTTGTAAAGCTGTCTAACTGTGGGCTTTTGTTTTGGGGAAGCTTTTTTTTGTTTGTTTGTTTTAATTCCATGTTTGTCATCAATTTATTCAATTCTTCTGTTTCTTTGTGGTTTACTCTTGGTAAACTATATCTAGAAATTTGTACATTTCTTTGAGGCTATCCAATTTATTTTTC